TCAGTTACAGCTTCAACATAATTCTTAGGTTCCATATAAGATAGGAATGCATAGAATGCACAGAAGTTCCTAAGCTGAGATCTAGTCTGAGTTCCTTTTATAATATCACTCATGATTGCATCAACAGGATGTGATTTCTGATGTTTCCATCGTTTAGGAGTAAAGTCCTTCACTGGATACAATCTTTCCTGATCATGGTTGACTGGTTCTTCTGTAGGAACTTGTTCTTGAGCCTCAGATGGAACTTCAACAGGATTCTCCTAATTCTGATTCTGATCTTGTTCTTGAACAGGAGTTCCTGGAGCATTCTCCATTTCTGGTACTTCATTTGCTTCCAGATTCGTTTGCTCACCAATTTCCACTTGCTGCTTCTGCAATGATGTTGATTTTTCATCTGGATTTGTCTTGCGGACAAGTCCAATTTCAAAATCATTATCACACTCCTGTACATCATTTAAAGACTGTTCAGTTTCATCAAATATAATATGTACAGATTCCTCAACACACATTGTCCTTTTATTATAAACTCTATATGCTTTACTATTAGAGGCATATCCTAAGAATACAGCCTCATCACTGCGTTCATCAAACTTTCTCAAGTTCCTTTTACCATTGTTATGAACAAAACATTTACAACCAAAAGATCTAAAGTAAGAAATATTAGGTTTTCTCCCTTTGATCAGCTCATAAGGAGTTTTGTTGGTAATGGCTCTAACTGATACTCTACTAAGAATATAGCATGCAGTATTCACTGCTTCTGCCCAGAAGTTCCTAGGTAACCCACTTGAGATCAGCATTGTCCTGGCCATGTCTTTAAGGCTTCTGTTCTTGCGTTCCACCACTCCATTTTGTTGAGGGGTTCTAGGGGCAGAGAAGTTGTGATTCATTCCTTGTTTAGTGCAGAATTCATCAAATTTCGAATTTTCGAATTCTGTGCCATGATCTGATCTGAGGTGTATCAATGGATTACCTGTTCTTCTCTGTTCTTTCTTTACAAAAGCTACAAATTCATCAAACGTTTCATCTTTACTCACAAGAAAGAAAACCCAAGTAAACCTTGAAAAGTCATCAACAATAACCATAACATATCTCTTACCACTTCTGCTTTGGATTCTCATAGGACCACATAGATCCATATGAACAAGTTCCAAAGGTCTTTTGGTACTTACCATTTTCTTGGACTTGAAAGAAACTCGAGTCTGTTTTCCTCTAACACAAGCATCACACACTTTGTCATACAGGAACTTAATACATAGAAGACCTTCCACTAGTTCCTTAGATCTCAATTTATCAAGTAGAGTAAAGCTTGCATGTCCAAATCTTTTGTGCCATAATAAAGGATCATTCTCAATGACACTAAGACATGTTAAACTGCTATTAGGAACTTCGTTAAGATCAACCAGATAAGTGTTTCCTTTACGAATTCCTTCTAAGATGATGTTCCCAGTGTCATTATGAATGATTCTGCACTTATTAGAAGTAAAGCTTACAGAGTTACCTTTGTCACAAAATTGTGAAATATTTAACAAATTGTGTTTGAGGCCCTCGACCAAAAATACATTATCAATTGTATGGGAACTTGACCTTCCTACTTTGCCAATAACAACTATATCTCCACTCATGTTATCACCAAAGGTCACAGTTCCCCCGTAGTAGGCATCCAGTGAGATAAATCTAGATTTATCTCCAGTCATGTGCTTAGAACAACCACTGTCGAGGTACTAAGTGTTGTTCCCCCTCGCTGGAACCTGCATGAGAAATCAAACATTAGGTTCAGGAACCCAGGTTTCCTTGGGTTCCTGTGTAACAACAGTAGGTTTATTCTTTTCGATCCAAATCTGTTCTACATGCTTTTTGTTTTTCTGAGTACTATTTTCTTTCTTAGGACACTTAACTTGTTTGTGTCCAGTATTTCCACAGAAATAACAAACTATACTACTAGACAGGTCCACATACTTCTTTTCTTTTTGGAACTTCTTTTTGAAACCCAAACCTTCTATTCTTTTGGTTTGAGCTTTGGTGATCCAGTCAGGAACTCTGTATTTTACAGGTTGTTTGCCTTTCCTGGCTTTCTCAAGTTCCCCCTCAAGTCTTGCTTTATCCGCTTTTATATTTTCCAAGTCAGATTTCAGTTTTTCAAAATTCGGATATTGAGCAAGTGGAGGAACTTCAGAATCAGGGGCATTCAGACAGAGTTTCATCAAAGATAGTTCCACATTTAACATTATGTTATCATGTTTTAACCTGTCTATAGTTTCTTTTAAATAATTATTATCATCGAACAGACTAAAGAATCTATATTGAATATCAAATTTCAGATTATCAACCCACTTACTGTTTTTTTTAAAAGTAACCAAAGCTTCATCACTTTTATGTTTAGCTTTATGCAAATCTTTAAGTTCTTCTTGAATTTCCAAGACAATTAATATTAAGTTTTCTTTGGAGAAATGTCTAAGTTCTTTTCGAGAAAACCATACCTCAGACTCTAGTTCCTTCAGCTTTGCCTTTTCATCAATTTTGGCGATCAAACATAGATGAGCAATTTCCTCTAATGGTTGCTCTTCCTCTTCCTCAGAATCTGAATCTCCCCAAGCAGCTAACATGGCTTTCTTCACGTTGTCCATGGTGAAATAAGGTTTGTAGACTCTTAACTCTTTGGATTGCTCCTTGCCCTTGGTCTTTCCTTTCTCACCGTCTGGTAATGGACAATCTTTAATGAAGTGATCTTTTGAGCCGCACTTGAAACATGTTGTGTTTCTGGAACTTGCATATTTCTTGTTCCTATCGAACTTCTTGTAGTTCATCATCCTTTTGAACTTTCTCAGTAGCATTGCCATTTCTTCTTCATCAGCTTCTGATTCCTCTGAGTCTTGAGCCTTAAGAGCCAGACTCTTGTTTTTGGAACTTTCAGAGTTTGAACTCAGATGTAGTTCATGAGTCATCAATGATCCAGCTAGTTGTTCCATGTTAAACTTTGTGAAGTCCTTAGCTTCCTGCATAGCAGTAACCTTTGACCTCCATCGTTCATCTTGTGGTAGACTCCTCAAGATCTTCCTAGCCTGTTCATCAACCGGAATGTGTCTGCCAAGGGAATTCAGTTCATTAATAATATCATTGAACCTAGTAAACATTTCCTCTATAGTTTCCTTTGATTGCATTTCAAACCTTTCATATCTAGACATCAACAAATTAATTTTAGAACGTTTTACCTCATTTGTACCTTCATGAGTTACTTCTAGTAGATCCCAAATCTGTTTAGAAGACTTGCATCCCATGATACGATTATGTTCATGAGGTCCAAGTCCACAATGCAAATACTTTATGGCTAAAGCATTCAATTTCAGTTTCTGATAATCTTCTTTATCATAATCAGAAATAGGTTTAGGAACTACCTCTTTCTTTTCATTGGTTATGGTTATTTCAAAATCACCTGCTTCAATAACATGCCAAACCTGGTAATTTTCTGCCTTAATAAATATCTCCATCCTGTTCTTCCAGTAGGTGTAGAACTTACCATTGAACATGGGTGGACGTTGGGTAGAATACCCTTTTTCAAGTTTCTCTTTGTAATTCATCTATCCAGGAACTTACTCAACAAAGTTATTCGCTTATACGAGAATACCTTGCTCTGATACCAATTGTTAGTTGAGACGATTAATACAAGAGGGGGGGTAAATTGTATGGAGTTCCTAATGACTATTTTTTTTTGCGGATAAATAAACAATGCGTATAGGAACTTAAGTAAACACACAGATTTTACGAGGAAACCTTCCAGGGCCCAATTGGAAGTAAAACCTCGACCCTACCTTAGGGATTTCAAACACAAAACACTTCACTATAATAGGGCAAACACCAGGTTACAATCTATTAAACACAGACCTTTATTTCACAAGTTCCTCATTGGACTTGCTACTTGATAGGACCCTATCCTACCCAATCTAAGCACCACACTTAGATTCACTCGTACCACCAAAGTACACAACACTCGTACCACCCTAGTACAAAACACACAGCCTCACCAAGAAGCTTACACAAATCTGTATGCAACACAAACTATAAATATCACCCAAATAACTCAACCAATACAAATAAAAGACGCCTATTATGATAGGTAAGCAATGCACAAAATCCGAAACTAATATGATAAGTTAAAAGCTTGGTAAACTTACTCAGTTAAAGCACTGTGATTTCTCCACGCATAAACTCACAAAAAAACCTAAAACATTTTGCTCTCTACTATTTATACAAGTAACACTTGTATAGAATGTAGGTTTTCTAAAAAGATAAATATGTTAACTTAACTTATCTTTTTAAACACGGTTTTAGTAAATCAAGTGAAATAAAATCTTTTCCGAAAATAAGTACAAAAGATATTTATTAAGAAAACTTATATTTCTTAATAAACTGACTTTAGAGAAAATAATCTGTTTAGAAAATCTTTTCCTAAAATCTATCTTTTATTATTTTCCAAATTTATTTTATTTACCAAGCAAACTTATCACGTTTCTAATAAATTTCGTGCACTAACCTACTTACCATATTTACAATAATTTCTAAGAATAAAACCTTAACTATTATTGATGCGCCGCACTCTGATCAGATGAATTACTTGGGCTCCAAGCATATCAAGTTCCACCAAAGAACTTAACTGCCAGTCTTCAAGTTCCCGTTAGGGAACGTTCCTGTTAGGGAACTTAGTTCTTGTTAGAAAACTCTTCCTCTGATTTGTTTAACTTCTTCAATAAAGATCTTCTTCATGTCTTCTTAGATTCAGATGGTTCTTCAATCACCAAGATTATTCTGCACCTTGACTAATCACCCACTAGAGAGTCTTTATTAGATGAGTTTGCTTTTAGTTTAAGTTCCTCATCATCAAAACCTTTATGCTTCAACATGCTATCACATTATCAGCAAAATAATATTTATGAACGCATAGAGAATTTGTTTAATCGACATCTTTGAAGTCAAATCAATTTAAAAAATATATATTCTGTTTGCAGGGAAAGCTTAAACATGGAAAGGTTGCTGCCATCAAAGTTCTGTCGGCTGAATCGCAGCAAGGGGTTCGTGAGTTTTTGACTGAGATAAAGGTGATCTCAGAGATACAGCATGAAAACTTGGTCAAGTTGTATGGCTGTTGTGTGGAGGGGAGCCATAGAATACTCGTTTACAACTATCTAGAAAACAACAGCCTTGCACAGACTCTACTAGGTAACTTTTACACATTTTGTCCATATTAGTAGTTAGTACCCTCATCATATTCATATAAGGTACTTTTTCTAATGACAGATTCTAGAAGGGTGTGTTTGCAATGATTTTATGCATATACTTACGGGGAAATTTCTTCATCTGTTACTAATTTTAAGTGTGCAAGTATCTCAAGGATAATAACTTAAGCTTTGTAATCATAGGCAGGGGAAACTGTAGCATTAAGTTTACTTGGAGAATACGTTGGAATATCTGCGTAGGAATAGCTCGTGGGCTTGCTTTTCTTCACGAAGAAGTACGTCCACATATAGTGCATAGAGACATCAAGGCAAGCAATATCCTGCTCGACAAAGACCTCACTCCCAAAATTTCAGATTTTGGTCTTGCGAGGCTTATGCCACCCAATGCCACTCATGTTAGTACACGGGTCGCTGGCACATTGTGAGTGAGAACTTATTCTTTGTTTGATCTTAATCTTCATTAAATTCCTTGAACTCAGAATGGATAATATGAAGCAAATTAGGTAATCAATTTTTAACACGTTGTTAACGATCATATGTTCCTATTTTATGCCAAATGCTTGGTCTGGTCAGGTAAATATATCAATATACCTCTGCCCTCAGTTCTGCCAGATTTGGTGTTTTTCTGTGCTGCTAAAATCTTTGTTCTTAGTGCTCACTTCTCTATAAATACTGAAGTAATATAGGAAGTATTGAATTACCATATCAAAAATCGCTGCTGCACTTTGGTCCTGCGCTCTTTCCTTTCAAAGAATCTCTAACAATACAAGAACATAAACTTCCATTTAGATACACCAAATCAGACATAAACTCCTAGGTAGTTTAGGTTATTATCCATTTGGCTCTTGTTTTCTAGATTGTTTAAGTTGCTTTATAAAGAAAAAAGGTGGAAGCACAAGCATCAACGTTGACCCTATGTTCTCAAGAATCCCTATCGATATTATTTCTCTCCCAAAACTTATCAGTTCTTCATGATTTCTACGTTGTGTACTCTATTTTTAAACAGTCTTGTGCAATGGGACTGAAGTTATTGTGAGACCAGCAGACCAGGGTGACCTTATTTTCTATCTTAGTGGTGAGTTCTTACTTCTTTGGGAGGTTTTATTAAACAATGTCTCCCAATTAGTTTTCGGATAATCTCACCCAAGATTTTCTTATACTTTTATTCAAGCAAACAACCAAGGAAACTGTAGGTTTAAAATTCGACTTGCTACACCACATTCATTAACTGTCATCTTTGCATGTAGCAGTACTTAAATCATGCAGCGAGAGTTTTATATATTTATTTTATTCAATCAATTGGTTTATAAAAAGTATACCATGATGACATTCTCCATAATATCTTTTATAGATGTGTATTATTTAGCTCTCCTCTACATTTTGTGATTCTTTCTTCTTCTTCTCCAGAGGCTATCTGGCTCCAGAATATGCAGTAAGGGGGCAACTGACTCGAAAAGCAGATATATATAGTTTTGGTGTTCTCCTGGTGGAAATTGTCAGTGGAAGATGTAACACGAACATGAGAATGCCAGATGGAGACAGATATCTTCTAGAGCGGGTAAGAGTTTATTCAACAGTAGATGTAACTGCTGTGACAGAATAATAGTTGAAATGATTATTCATAATTTCATGTGTCTTGATCACTTTGTTTAATATCTTCTCAAAAGCTAGTTAATTAGCCTAGCTTATGATAGATTATTTGATTCTGAGATCTACAGAATGTCAACATGCACCTTTACGAGCATTACTAGGTAGGAGTAGGATCTTGGTGACTATTGAAACTGTTCAATGCATTGTTGGAATGGAAGTTCAATGAGTAAAAATCTTTTTCTATTTACAATTTTTACGAAATATGGTTGTATGAATACTCGTATATATTACTCATATTTTGATATCTGGCTGAAGATAATGTTTTTGTGTTCACACTTAATTATGTTGAAAGTCACAACTGCTCAATTTCAGCTTTAATTCACTTTGGATTAAAACAAGTAAATCTCTTACTTTATCTTGTAGTTCCTCTGCTTTTCATTTCATGGGTTGATGGGGTGGCAAGGAATCTATGTGTTTGTAATGGAGCTGTGTTCAATAGTGACAATTGGTGATTGGTCCAACTTTCCCAATTCCCACTGCCATGACCTTAGCGTACAATCTGGGCTGTTTCCCTCTCGACTTTGGATCTTAGCACCCAAAAAGTCTGTCTTTACCACTTCTCTGCATTGGCAGATTGACGAGCATATGGTTGTTAACCTAGCTTAGTGAAAAAGATCAGCACCTGCATCTCAATGTAATTGACTTGCTTCTAAAGGGGGCATATAAGGGAAAAGTCAAGTAGAGTGACAATGGATATAGGAGTCAATTTGTATTAACTAGCCGCATCATTTATGAATTCTGTGTTGTGACACTTTCTATTAATAATCACATGTTTTGTCACAGATATGGGAATACTATCAGCGAAGGGAGCTTGTAGAACTGGTGGATATATCATTAGAAGGGCACTATGATGTAGAGGAGGCTTGCAGGTTCCTTAAGATAGGCCTGCTTTGCACCCAAGATGCTCCCAAGCTTCGACCAGCCATGTCCTCTGTGGTGAAAATGCTGACAGGTGAAAAGTGCATCGATGAAATGAAGATAACAGCACCAGGATTGCTCTCTGATCTTTCTGAAGTTACAATCCGGAACACCCACGACAACGCTGATACCAGAACTACGTCTGTATACAAAGATTTATACTCCAGCTCAGACAGCATGAACAATTCAACCTTTTCATCTGGAGCTTCAACTAGTGCCACATTGACATTCACAGCAGTTAAAGAAAGAAGTCTGTAAAATTCTGGATTGAATATTTCTGAGAATCCCATGTCAATGTACTTTAATTTGAAAGTATCGGAATTCAAACAGGTGCACATAGATAAGATTAGTTCATTTTTTTTAATAAACTGATAATGAAAAGTAATATACATGTTTAATGCTCAGGGAGATCTTGTACAGCCAAAAAGTTGCAACTAAGATGTGAAAAATTAAAAAAATTTCGAATATTATGTAGCCAAAGAAGTTTCTTTTTTGTTTTTTCATTTTTTGGTAGAAATTATTTCCTTGGAGTTTACTTCAAACTATCTTCTATGACTTTTTCGCATTTTTTCCTCCCGCCAATGCAAGTTTCAAATTGAATTTTGGGTTTTTCTAAGCTATACCCTCGTTGGTTGTTGAGTTTCTTATATGTGCCCACGTGTTTTCAAAATTATAGGATGTACCCTCCAATTTAAGGTGTTTATTCATCTGTACATTATGACGTAAACCCAACGTTATTAGTTGTGCTAGATGTTGATTACTCCATTTTGAAGAGAAATTTAACGCCTAACTTAAGTTAGAGTTATATAAGGAGATTAACATTTAGTATATTTTGTTTTTCACATTTTCTCATATACTCTTTCTTTTTTGTTCTAAAAGCAACTATTGATATGTAAGATAGAAAGTGCGCGTTTCCTCTGAACAAGCTTGGCAATCATGGCAATGGGCACACATACACAATCTTCCTCGAAAATTGTGCAAAACAGACAAAAATATACACAAAAACACAAGAATATAAAGAAGAATAAAGAGAAGAGTGATAATAGAGAAATAATTGAGGACGCAAATGTGAACCCAAAAATTGAAAAATTCATGGAGGAGCAAATTCTTTCACCAAAAGCTTCAATGGAAGAATTGGAGGAGTGAGGGTTTGAGATAAATTTTCTAACTGGGTGAGTGCAGTGAAAGCTAGCTTGAAGGTCAAATTGAATGTGCATTGAATGTGCAAGGTAACCCAGATTTCCAACCGTGTTGATTCTACTTCTAAAAATTTACTAGAAAATTTTGATGCTTTAATTGAGATGAATGATGAACAATCTAAAAATTGCTGATAATGTACACCTTAATTCGAATGTTGATTACATTCAAACTGATTTGAATGATATTTAAGAAGAAATCAATTTTTGAAATTTTGTTGTTGCATGCTATCTTTGTCGGGCAAATCCTCCGATTATCGTAATAAAGGGATTTTTCAGAAGAATTTGGAGGAATTTGGGGGTTGATAAGGTGTGTTTAAAGGATAAGGGCATTTTCATCGTCCGATTCCTAACTATGGAAAACAGAGATAAAGTGATAAATTGACCCAAAGTGTGCTTTGAATACAAACCCATCTTTATTAAGGCATGGGATCTTGATTTGACAATATCCCAGGAGGAATTTAATTAAAATATTTCAAATTTAGCTTCAAATCGGGAACTCAGATCTGAAGTATTGGGGGGGGGGGGAATCCTTGAAGAAAATTGTGGGTTCGATTGGAAACTAGGTTAAAATGGATACGCCACTATAGAAAGACAGAAACTGCAGTATGCTAGAGTTCTTTTTGATAAGAGTGGACCAATCTCTTCCAGACAATGTGAATTTTTTGAATGAGAAGGATGACAAGGTTATGTTGGATTTGAAGTATGAATGGAGTCATGTGGTGTGTATGTACTTCCTACAAAAAGCTTGGTCATATTGCTTAGGCCCGTAAAGGGAAGTAGAAGACCAGATGTGTTCCTAAGGTTACTTTGAAGTGATAATAGGTAGGAGTATAGGTCACGAACTATCTCCTCCAAATCAAACAATATTTTTAAACACTTTACTATCCTTATACAAGTATAAGGAAAGCAAAGGATCGAACCATAAGGACTAAGGGTCAATGATTTAAGTCGATTAAACAACTAGGGCGGGTGTGAAGATGAGAGAGAAAATTAAGTACCACAAGACATTTAAAATCAAACGATAAAAGCACCAGGGATAGGAGGATCGAGGCATATTGATGAATTTAACCAGCTAAATGTGAATAAATGATCAAGGGCTTAATTAGGAGAAATAAACACATTTAGACCCAATTCACTTCACCTTATTTTTTCTAAATTAAAATTATTTTTTACTGAACTGAAATTATTTTTGCCAAACTTACATTATTTTTACTGAACTGAAATTATTTTTACTAAACTGAAATTATTTTTGCTAAACTGAAATTGTTTTTACTGAATATCTATTATATTTCTACTTGACATTTATTGAATTTTACTAAACTGAAATTATTTTTACGGAATTGAAATTATTTTTGCTGAACTGAAATTATTTTTACTGAACTAAAAATAATTTTACTGAATATTATTTTTGTTAAGGTGAAGTGAACAGGGCCTTAATTCACTTTAGCACAATCAAACATGCTAATTAACTCGACTAGATTAATTCATTCTCGTGCAATTAAATTAGCCTAAACATGGATGAAATTAAACCCTCAATTAACTCACTCTCGCACAAATTAATTAAGAGCATGGAAAAAAATCATAGGGGCAATTAGCTAGAAAGACCCTTAGCAATAAAGTCATTATCCATGTTCACAAATCAAGCCTCAATCACAATTCAAACACAATCAATCAATTAAAAACATTAATATCCCCTTCATTCATATCCCTAGAGCAAAATCTAAGCAAACATGATTAAAAAAACATGGAAAACAAGCTAAAACAAGAGTTAAAGCAAGAATCAAATAACTGTAGACACCCAAATGTGTCTCCCCAAAACCAAACCCAGTGATAAATATCTTTCACTTCATTTGAGTATTGAACAAAGCGAAAGTGTGAAGAGTCTAGTCATGAGGATGTTTTTATTAAAATATCTCTTCTTTCTATTTTTGAAAATATTTCTTTTCTTACCTTATTTATGAAAAATGTGCATTCTAGTTTAGTTTGGTCCATGATAAGGGCCAAAAATGGTGTAGTTGGATAGAGATTGAAAAGACCTTTCCAACGATATATTATAAGCCCAATTCCGATGAATAATGAGGAAGTTATAACCAAAATACTAAACTGAGCCCGATTTGGTTTTTATATGCGGTCCAATGATCTAGAGGAGGGCCTATCATTAATTATCATTCCTAAAGATATTAGGATTGATTATATTCTTCTATAATATTCTAGAAGGTTCTCTTAAATCCTAATGGAGTTAGGATTGATAATTATGTTTTAAAGAGTTAGAAATTGAATAAAACTACTCCTTTTCAGAATCCTTGTTTTATACGAAGTGGAATATATTCAGATTTTATTTTTGTACCTCATAATCTTTATCCAAATTTTATATGGTTGGATATATCTTGAAATTATCTTTCCAATGATATATTATAATATTAAATCCGAGTTATAACGAAAAAGATATGAATGAGATATGAAACTCTATCCAAAACTGATACCCTTTAACTATTTCGGCCATATCTTTTTATATACAAAATATTTTAATCTGATTCCAATTGGGATGGAAATTAAACATCAATATCTTTCCAACGACATATTATATGCCTTACTTGGTCTTCTGTATCAAAAGATATGATAAAAATAAAAACACGTGAAACTGATTATTAGCGTATGACGACAAGCATTAGCGCCTGGCGCAAGGTTTGGCGCCTGGCGCTAATGACAAGCGTCTGGCGCTAATTGAGTTTTATTCTCGTCGAAACTCTGATTCGTTTTTTTTATCCATCCGACTAATTTTCTCTATAAATAGTCTCTTAAAATTCTGTTTTCAATCATCAATTCTCAACAATAATCAATTTCCATCAACAACTATCAACTCTCTAGTTTTCTAATTCTTTTCTCTCTCTAAGCTAAAACTTATTCTCTCTCTCTTTTCTAAACCAACCCCCTTGCATACAAAATTCCGCATTCACAAGACTTAGAAGCCCCTAGCGTTATTCTAAGTTGCCTTCGCCCTAGACGTGAAAGGTTTTAATTTATGAGGGTTTGATCCCAAATCTCTCTTTCAATTATTTAATTTAATTCTTTGATTTTATATTTTCCTTGAATTTACTAACGCGTGTATTTTGTTCTTAGAAAGAGATACGAGACATCAAAGTAAGTACTTTAATTGTTTTATTGATATTATGATATAGAAATCATGCTTAGGTTGTTTTATTGCTTCCTAGTATCATGTTAGGATGCTTTCTTTAGTATGATATTTCGGGTGATTTGCTTATATCAATTGTGATTCCTATGATGCTTCTTATTTTCTTTCCTAGTATTCATGTTAGTATCATGTTAGGGTTAGAGCTTTGAATTTTAATGTTTAGTGACATGCTAGGGTTTTTTTTTATTAATCTTGTTAGTATCATGCCTAGGATCTTGCTATTAATATTATGATTTAACATGATTATGATAATTATGATTATGATTATGATTATTGTTGTGTCGATTTATATAATTTAACGTAATTTATTAATTAGCGAATTGTTCCACGTAATTTGTTAATTTACGAATTGTTTCACGTAATTTGTTAATTTACGAATTATTTAATGTTATTTGTTAATTGACGGATAACTTATATATAATTGATTATTATTATGTTGTTTGATATTTATTTTATATTTATTGCTTGACCACACCTTTTATACATGTTTAAAGGGAATTGATACTTGTAATCACGCTTAATAAGATAATTAATAATCTTATTTAGGATTAATTTGATTATAATTTAAGTGATCGCCAATAATAGATTTATTTGTGCATTAATATTCAACCAACATAGGATAAACATGTTTAGGGTTAACCTATTGATTGCATGTTAGTCAGAAATCGCACATGAATACGATCAGAATAAAGTAGAGGCCTATTATTAGGGCAGGTTTAATCTCTTTCAGGTTGGATTTGTGCCTTCATCCCCGAACTACCAGTCATGGTTCCAGACCTATTGGAGTTGACGATCTCCTGGATCGTTAAGAGGTGTAACCTTCACCTCGTAAACGGTTTACAAGTTCCTAAAACTTGTTGGCGATTCGTTTGCTCTAAGCTAGATTCCTTCCCTTTGGACGCCACCGTACTTTAGTGT